GGGGGGGGGGGGGGGGGGGGGGGGGCAGGCTTGCCTTGCGCGCGCTTTCCCTCCTCCCACGCGGGCGGGGGCGATTTTGTGGGGGTTTTCTTTTTTTTGTTTTTGCATGGACACGCGTGGGAGGAGGGGGGGGGTGGCAAGCGTGCGTGGCTCGGCCGGCTAAGCACCACGCGGGTCCATGCAAAAAAACAAAAACAAAACCCAACAAACCAACCCCCACAAAATTACACACACACACACCCCGCGTTGGCCTTGCAACGTCGGGGTGGTGGTAGGGTATGTGGTTCGGCCGGCCGAGTCTCACGCGTGGGCCTTTCTTTTTTTTTTGCAAAACGGGCCCGGGATGTTTGCTTCTTTCGGGTTGCTTTGACTAAGGGGGCAGCATGGGGGGGGGGAAGGGAAGGAAGGACCGAATGGATTGGCTTTGGAGGTCGGGCCGGGTGGAACTTGGCAGGGGGGAATCGGCCCTGGTGTTGGGTTTGTAGGGGTTGGGGTGGTAGAAGAGGGTCTTTGTATTCAGGGTTGAATTGTGGGGTCTCTCTGAGTAGGGTAGTTTTCTTGCAGACCTTCTGTGACCCAACCAGGTAACATCATCAGGGCTGAAGGGTGTGCAGAGAAGGGGAAGGAAGGGGACTGTGGGGGTCCCTGGTGCTCTCTGAGCTTGGTTATTTCCTTGTAGATGTTTCATTACCCGGCTAGGTAACATCATCAGTGCTAGAAGAGTGTGGAGTGTGCAGAGTGTAGGTGGAAGAGGAGGGGATTGTTAGGTCCTTGATGCTCTCTGAACTTGTTCTCTTGCAGACCTTTCATTACCCAACTAGGTAACATCATCAGTGCTAGCTTTGCATTCTTCACCTGGTACCTTGGTTCAAAAATCCAGAATCTCTGGTGTCAACTCAGGTGCTTCATGGAATAACCTAGGAGGAAAAAAGTCACCTAACTCAGGTTAATTCTAACCAGGCCGATCATTCTTATATACGGTTAGTCAGTTGTTAAGTGAGTCACACCTCATTTTATGACCTTTTGGGGTTGTGACCTACCTCCATCTTCCTTCCCAGCCTCTCTGTGGTTTGTTTTCCGTTGATCAAAATTATGGATGTTTAATTTTGAAGGATACAGTAGAGAATTGATGTATTTGATTATTAATGTTTTAACAGCAGCTATAATTGTATTTGCTCAAAAATGGAAAAATAAAAAAATTCCGATAGAAGAGCAGGTGATGAAGAAAATAATGGAATGTGCAGAGATGAGTAGAGTGTCATTGGCAATTAGAGAGCAAGAAGAAAAAGAATATTATAAAATATGGGATTTATTTTATCAATGGCTAGATAGGAAAATAGAGAAATAAAGTATATTATAATATAAATATAACACAATAGTAAATACAATGAAATGATATGCTATAATTGATTATTATGGAAGGAACCATAAAACAAATCAGGACTTGTAAAAGTTGAGATTTGCTCGAAAAGGATGGTGTGACTTTGCAATTAAAGTCTAATGATGACTTAATAATATGATATGGATAGCTGATCTACATAATATGAATTTTAATCTAAACTTAAGAAGGAAAGACGGAAAGAAGGAAGATATTGTGCACAAGAGATACATACCAACCAATACACTGTACAATTGAAAGGTTTTATTTGTTGTTTCATGTTTGTTTGTTGTTAAAAATAGAAAACTTTTAATAAAAAAATATGGATGTTGTTATAACGGTGGTTACACTTTGGGCATTTATTTGAAATGGTATAGGGTTTCCTGCCTAAGCAGGGGGTTGGACTAGAAGACTTCCAAGGTCCCTTCCAACTCTGTTATTCTATTCTATTTACAATACTTCCTTACCCTTTGAAGACACAAGGGCCAGGATGAACTGGGGAAGATTTTGTAATTTCGCTTTATACAATCTTCTTCCTTTTTTGAACTGGCTTGCCCTCAAACCGTCCTTTCATGAAAGGAAGTCTGGAAGTAAACAGAACAATGGTTAGATAAATACTTCTAAGCCAGAGCCCTTGAGGTCTGTTAAATAGCTTTTTAGTTTTATCTCAGGGGTTCTGCAAAGGCTAATCTTGAGGTTGATAAATCCAGAGTCCTTGCTGGCTTTAATTCACTTGTGGACATTTAGTGAAAAGTGCAACTTAATCTTGCAAGTTGGATGCTGACTCTGATCTTACAGTACAGGTAATAATAATAATAACAATAATTTGATAAGAAAGACAAAAAAAATCTGGATAGTGGATGTGACAGTGCCTGGAGACAGCAGAATAGAAGGGAAAGAACTGGAACTTTCTTGTCCTATTTGAATGGAGCTAGAAGCCAAAAGATATTGGACAAAAATACACACATGGCTGGAAAAAATGATAAAAAAATACAGATTTGAAACCTGAAATATTTTTATTAGGAATGCCACCTGAAGTTTACAGCAAAGAAAAAAACATATTTAATCCTACATGTGTTAACAGCAGCTAGAATTGTATTTGCTCAGAACTGGAAAAATGGTAAGATACAGGTAGAGGGAAAAGTAATTGAGAAAATATTTGAATATGCAGAGAATTGAATAGATTAACATTGGTAATTAGAGAAAAAGAAGAAACGGAATATTATACGATATGGGATTTATTTTATCAATGGTTAGAAAATAAAACAAATTAAAGGACTTAGATGAATGGATGTATAAAGCACAAAGATAAGATTGTTAAAGAACAGATAGATAAAATGTATAAGAAAATGTGATTATTGATATATTGGTAAGGAAAGTATTCATTATAATTGTGAGCACACGAAATATGTACCTAGGAGCCTGTTCTCAATGATGGATGACATGGCATATTTCTAACCTGACGTAACTGTAATTTTGGCAAGGTTTTTTTTTATCCTTGAAACAGGAAAGATTTTGAGCTAGTCAAAGCATGCCCTGGAATTTTCTTTGTCCTGTTTGAACGGAGAGACAACTCTTACCTTGCAAACATAGCCAGCGGCTATGTTATATTTCTCCAGTTTGGGGAAATGAAATTTTAAAATAGAGTCCTCTATTTACAATCCTTTGTTTAGTCACCTTTCAGTGAAAAAAAAAGTGATTTACGACCCATTTTTTCACATTTAGAACCTTTATTGCAGCCCCCCCAAGGTTTACAGCAAGGGTCTTCAAACATGGCAGCTTTAAGACTTGTGGACTTCAACTCCCAGAATTCCTGAGCTAACATGACTGGAGGAGGAATTCTGGGAGTTAAAGTCCACAAGTCTTAAAGTTGCCATGTTGGAAGACCCCTGGTTTATGGGATCAAAATTCGGATGCTTGGCAAACTGGACTGTACAGAGTCTTTGACTTACAACAGCTTATTTAGTGACTGAAGTTACAGCATCACAGGGAAAAAAGCGACTTAGGACCGTTTTTCACACTTAACGACCGTTGCCGCATCCCCTGGGTCATGTGATTTACCTTCGAAGGCTTGGCAACTGACTCACATTTATGATGGTTGCAGTGTCCCCGGGGTTCACCATGATCCCCTTTTGTGACCTCCCAATAAGCAAAGTCAATGGGGAAGCCAGATTCACTTCACGACCGTGTGACTCACTTAATAACGGCAAGTGATTCACTTAACAATGGTGGCAAGAAAGGTCATGGAATGGTGCAAAATTCACTTAACAAAGACCTCACTTAGCACCAGAGATTTTGGGCTCCATTGCGGTCATAAGTTGAGGACTGCCTGTATTTACGACCGTTGCAGTGTCCCGGGGTCATGTGATTCCCCCTTTTTTGGACTGGGGGGTTGGACTAGATGATCTATAAGGTCCCATCCAACTCTGTTAATCTATCTAAGATGACCTTCTGTCCAAGCAAAGTCAATGAGGAAGCCAGATTCACTGAACAACCGTGCTACTCATTGAACAACTGCAATGATTCGTTTAACAACACTGTGGCCAGATAGGTTGTAAAACGGGGCAAAACTCTTGTTAGAAACTGTCCTACTCTTTTAGGCTCCATTGGGGTGTAACGCAAGGACTGCCTGTATAAGTTTTTAGCATTTTAATATATTTTAATTATTTTTCCATTTATTGTACAATGTCTGCGCTGCCCAGGGTTGCAGCATAAAAATTAAACAAGGCTGAGTTTTTTCTTGGGTTTCAACAGTGAACAAGTCATATCCCTTTAGTGCAATCTACAGCACTTAATATCACACCTGACGAGTGGTGCACAATGTGCTTATCGTGGATTTTTTAATTTTATCTTATCACGGGCCAAATTCTTGTGATTTGCAAGGAAGTTACCTCTTCCCCACCTCAAAAAGCAATTGTATTATTAGAATTGCATAATTTGTTAAATGTAAATATGATGAATACTATTTTACTTGCCTCAAATGTGACTAGAAAGGGGATTTTTTTTAAAAAAAAAACAGTGGCGTGATTAAAAATGAAGAAGAGGACAAACAATGTAAAATTACAATTTAATACAAATTGGTGAATCGTCATCAGAATTATATAATTCGTTAAACATTGCAAATATTAATATATAATTAGTAATAAGAGGAGTGATGTCAAGACTATAGAGATTGATAGAGTTAACAGGCTGTAACATTGAATAATCACAACTGATAATTTAACAAAATGTATTGATTAATATCAAATTTTAAAAGATTGTCAACGGTATTAAATATAAATAATATTGTACTAAAATGTAAGACACTCCAGAACCACACTGTTCACACAATGATATGTTTGTTGAAATAAAAAATAAAAGAAATATTGCAAAAAAAAAGAAGAGGCAGGCTGCATTCTTAGACCAGCTATATCTGGTAGTAAATTTTGAAAGGAAAAAGGAAGTTGTTGTTTCCAGTTATTTGGGGGGAGGGAGGGGGGCTGGTTGGTTGAGAAAGGGAGAAGAATAACAGGAAATTCCAAGAATTAGCTCAGCCCTGAAAATAACCTCCTTGCCTTGCAGAGGAAATAATAAAACCATTTCAAGCTGGGATTTGCAAGAAAGTTAGAAACCGAATGGGGTCGTTTGAATCTGTCTAAGGGAATGTGAATTGTGAATTGTAACTGACAAGACCTGTGGGGTGGATGTGGAGTTTGTAGGCGCTAAAAGGTCTCCCATAAATACGAGCCGCAACTTTCGTGTTTTCTCTCCGCTTATATCAACCACATTCCTTGCTAGCCCTGATGAGGTTACCTAGTTTGGCAATGAAATGTCTGCAAGAAAACAACCAAGCTCAGGGAACCCCAAGCCCTCCTCCTCCTCCCTTGATGATGTTCCTTAGTTGGGTCATGAAATGTCTGCAAGCAAATAGCCGGACAGTCCTCTTCCTACCCCTAGCTTTCCTCCTCTACACAATCCCCACTTCCCTCTAGCACTGATGATGTTACCTAGTTGGGTAATGAAACGTTTGCAAGAAAACAGCCAAGCTCAGAGAGCACCAAGAATCTCACAGTCCTCCTCCTCCTCCTCCTTCCTCCTTCCTCCTTCCTGCAAACCCCACTCCCCTCTAGCACTGATAATGTTACCTACTTAGGTAATGAAACTTCTGCAAGAAAGCAACTAAGCTCAGAGAGCGCTAAGGGCTCCACCGTCATCCTCCTCCTCCTCTTCCTCCCCACACCATACCACTCTCTTCTAGCCCTGCTGATGTTACCTAGTTGGGTAATGAAACTTCTGGCAAGAGAGCGACTAACCACAGAGGGCACCAAGGGCCCCTCGTTTCAACCCTGAGATGCAAATATTTCTCCTTGATTGGAAACTCTTTGTTTTGCTTGTTTTCTCTCTACGTGTCCCTTTCATTCACCCCATCTTATTTTTTTTCTCCTTCTTTACTTAGGGGTGCGCCTCCTCTTCTTGCAGCCTCCTTAATTCACGCTGCAGTCAGCGGGATTCTGCAAAGTGACCTCGGCAATTTTAAAAAACAGAACCTAGACCAGGATGAAGCCGGCGACAGCGGAATCTGTAAGGGTTTGCCCTCCCGTGGTTCTTAAATGTCGTTCGCTGTCTCTTGACGAAAAGCTCCTTATTTTGGCTCCGATGTTGTTTCTCTTCTTTTCTCCCCTAAATGAATTGAAAATCATTTGAAATTGGTACATCGTTGTTTACACAAGGTTAGCCCTCGGCCTTACAACGGTTCATTCAGGGACCGTCGGACAGCGGCACTGAAAAAAAAAAAAGCGATGGTCCTTTTTCACACTTACGACCATTGCAGCTTCCCCCGTTTACGAGGGTCGCAGTGTCCCCCTTTTTTGGCGACCTTCTGGCCAGCAAAATCCGTGAGGAAGCCAGATTCCATCAAGCACCATGTTGCTCATTTTAACAACTGCGCCGCTTGCTTGACGACGGTGGTGAGGAAGATCGTAAAACGGAGCAAAAATCCGCTTAAGGCATGCCTCGCTTAGCTTAGCCACAGAAATTGGGGTTGTAAGTTGAGGGTTACCTGTCCTATTGACCCCATTTATTGGTACCTATTAACTGTATTCATACTCTTTTTTTAATTCCTATATCTTGTCAGGGTTCCGGCATCCACCCCCATTTAAATCATGAGTCTTTAGCCACATCTCTCAAGAGTTTTTTTTTTTTTTAAAAGATTTATTAGGAGTGAACATGCCGGTGCTACCTGGGTGTAGCCGACTCCGAGACACATCATCCATTTCACCCTTGACCCTGGTCTTCCCCCCACCCCCTGGATGTATATTCTCCAATGGGACTGTCATGCCCTTGGTAGAGTCGGACTCTGAGGGAGAGGAGGAACAGCCAACAGGGAGTGGAAGTGTGGCTCCGGAGGTTGTGGAGGAGGCTGGGGAAGGGCAGCGGGCGGCTGAGCAGTCAGAGGAAGAACCAAGCCCATCCCCTCTTCATCCTGGCACATGCAGGGAGGAATGGAGAAGGGAACAACTTGGCTTACGAGAGAGGAAGTGGCCATGATCCCCCTCATTGGTTGCTGCTGGGGAGAATAGTATATAAGAGAGAGACGGTTAAAGCACAGAATTGCCAGAAGCAAAGCCTGTTTTATTTTGGGCTGAAGTTATCTTGGTTGGTGCCCTTCCAATAGACTGTGCCTTGTTATCTCCTTGAAGTTGGTAATTACTTATCCTGGTCCGTTGTGGAAATTCCTTCATTGTAGTTTGTTTTGGTTTTTTATTTCACCTCTCTCTCTGCTCTTTAAGTTTGGACTGTATTGCTTTTTCTTGAATAAGTTTAATCTCCAACTGAGATTTATTGAACAGTGGGGCCAAGTTGGAGGCATTAAAGGACATTTATTTACGTTTTGGATTTTGTTATGTTTGTGTTACACTCCGGGTCATCACAGGGACGCATCCCTAGCCAAGAGTCATCAATCATGCTCTCCAGTAATAATCTTGGGTGTCAGAAGCTTCGCCTAGAAATTATCTATGAAAGCATTTAAGGAATGCACTATATCCCTCACTTCCTTTCTTCTGGCAACTCTAAAAGACCAGAGAAATACTTTTGAGTTGACATATCTATTATCTTGCAAGCAATTGACAAATCAATCAAACAAACAAATAAATAAGTTCAGGTTGAAGATAGCCAGGTGAGGCTGTGAAAGTTTCAAAATACTTGTTTTCAAGCGAATTCTTTTTTTAATTCACCCGCCAGTGTTGGAAGCCGCGCCTTTGCAGCGCCATTTCTTTAACAAACTCTTGGAGATTTGCGGCGAGTGGCAGAAAGAGCTTCCCGCCCTGAAGCCGTCCAAGCGCTACCTTCAGATTTCGATCCACGCGACTCGTAATACTCGAAGGAAGATGGAAGACAGGCACGTTTCCCTGCCGGAATTTAACCAACTCTTTGGACTGGAGGTGAGATTCTAGAAGGAGCCAGAGAGAGGATGCACAGATAGAAAAATTGCCCTTTGCGAGCATACTTTTGGATTTGTAACTTCTGAGCTTTCAGGTTCTTGATCCTCTTTTGGGCTTGGTTGTTTTCTTGGAGATGTTTTGTTATCCAACTAGGTAACATCATCAGTACATTGATGGTAGTTTGATAATGAAATCGCTGAGAAAAGCTCAGAGAGCACCAATTTCCTTCCTTCCTTCCTTCCTTCCTTCCTTCCTTCCTTCCTTCCTTC